GTCGCGATGCGCAAACACCCAGCACGAGAAGATGAACACGGAGCGCAAGCTCACGGACGAGCAGCGGCGTGAGAAGATCGAGACCAAGAAGGTCGAGGAAGAGAAGAAGGGCATATACGGCGCCGTCTTCAAGTACGTCCACCTTGTATCCGCTCGTGTGCACATAGCTAACGGCTACCGTACAGGGTCAAGACGCTTTCGGACCCGTCGCACCGCTTCAAGGTGCGCAAGAACGCGGAGCAGATGAACTTGACGGGCGCCTGCATCTTCCATCCGACCTTCAGCATGGTCTACGTCGAGGGCGCGTCAAAGTTCATCCGGCAGTACAAGAAGCTCATGCTCCGGCGCATCGCGTGGACGGAAGCTGCGCGCGAACGCGGCGCGGAGGACGTCGAGATCGAGGGCGCGGAAGATGGCGAGGGCGGCAGCGGGAAGGGCAAGGGGAAGGCTGCCGTGCCTGGGGAGCACGGACAGGCGTCGCTCGAGGACAACCACTGCTGGCTGATTTGGGAGGGCCAGCTGCGGGATCGGGCCTTCAACAACTTCAAGCCGAAGAGTTGCCCGACGGACTCGGCGGCGAAGGAGATGGGCGGGTTGCAACGGCGGGAAGGACGGGCCTGCTCATGTACGCGGGCGAGTTCTCAGTGTAGATACGTAGCGGACATGGAATATATTTCGTTGGCACGCGCGATCTTGGCGAGTGTGTGTGGCTGTGCGGCTGTGTGGGTGGGTGGGCGGCTCGGGTGTGTGGGCGGCGGGTAGGCGGGGCTGTGTGGGTGGACATGGCGGGGACGGGGGGCGCACGTGGATGGGGGTGCAGACGGCCGCGACGAGATTGAGGGACTCTGGCCGTGGAGTGGGTGTGTATGTGAGTGGGTGTGTATACCGGAATGTGTACAGGACGGCGGGGTGGGGAGCACCTCATCAAAGGTCAGAAAAGCGGACTGTAGACGTCCGAATCCACTCGCATTCCATCCTATCATACTAGTACGGTACAGGGTGCAAGCATCGCGCCGGCGCGACAAATCCTACGAGCAGGACGAGGGCCACCAGTCTCGGGGAGCCCCTGCACTCGAGCACCTCCACAGCAATCTAGGGGCGCCGTATTCCCGAGCAGCAACGGGCGCTGTATCATACTGTAGCTCAAAATCATGTACGCGCCAGAGACGCGCCGCGCGGCGCGTCGTCGCAGAGTCTCGCGGAAATCGCAGGGAGGCCGGGGACAGGCTGCGGGAACAGAGTCCAGCCGGCCTCCCTCCTCGGGCTGCGGGCGCGCTTCCTGGCCCGCCGAAACCGCGCATGTGTGTCTTCAGGCGTCGTATCACTTCGTACAGTGCAACAGCACGCAGCTGCGCCGCCGCGTCGTCGCGGAATCGAGAGTGGGAGCGACAGCACCTCGGAAGTGGCTGTGTGAGCCAAGTCCGGCGCATTGTCGAGGTCGTGGCGCTCTGATACCTCGCGCGTGCGTAGCCCACACTCGTTTCGTGCTGTCGGAGGTGACTGCGTAATCGCGTCGTCGCGATATCGAGATCGAGCAAAGGACGGCACCCAGAACTGGCTGCGGGAGCCATGTCCGGCCTGGCGCCACTCGCAGAGGTCCCGTGGCGTAGAAGGGAAGCCGACACTTGCGTTGTATGTGTGAGAGCGTAGAAACGCGGCTGCGTCGTTGCGGAGTCGCTCAATCAAGATCGGGAGAGGCAGGGACTCCAAGCGTCCAGAGCTGAGCGCCTCGGAGATGCCTTGGGACAGAGCTGCGCGAGTCGTGCGCCCAGCGTCATAGAGTATCCGGGAAACAAGGGAGATGCCGCCGCTGCACTGCGTCGTCGTCAATCGAGAAGGGATGCCCGGCCGGGGCGGGCTGTTGGAGCCAGCTCCGGCGCGGGGGTCACACCGCGCCTAGCTTGCTTGAAACGGGTGCCGAGAGCCGCGTCGTATGCGTGAGGACGTCTAAACGTCGCTACGTCCTCCAGCCGCTGCCAAATCGCGAGGGAGGGCATTGAAAGCCCTGGAACTGGCTGCGGGAGCCGAGTTCAGCACCCGGAGGCTCGTAGAGGCCGTGAGACGTCCAGATCACGTATATCGAGCGCATAGGGAGCTTTCGGACGCGAGAGAACGCGCCTGCGCCATCGCGTCGTCGCGAACCGAAAAAAGGACAGTCGAGGGCCCCGGGGACTCGGGAGCCAAGCCCGGCCAGGTGGACTTTGAGTGCTCCCGGGTGCACCCAGGTGCTCGTGACGCGTACCCTGTATCGTGGAAAAAGTTATTCAGTACAACATCGTGTGCGCGGCACAGCTGGACGTACAGCAGATCCTGCCGCGCCGCGCCGCGGCGGTCGCGGGAGACGAGACAAGGAGCCCAATCGTTTAGACGCCCATGCGCGCCCACAACGCGCCAGGTACGACGGCGCCTCTTGCCTCCACACTGCCACCATCCTCTCCTCGCCCCCTCACGACACCTCGCCCTTGACGGTGTATGGACGAGGTAATCGGGCCGTGCCACAACACATCTCGACTCGGGTGCTGACCTGTCACGCCCTTAGGCTCAAGCTGCCAAGTTGGGCCGCGGCTGCTACAGGATGTGCAAGTATCTGTTGTGAGCCTACAGCGTGCGAGCTTACCTCGATATGACCTTCCCCTTGTCCTCGCGGAGTCGCGGGCTGTGCGCCATGTGGCGGAGTACCGCCGCCACCCATGCACGAAGCCCGTCGACAGCCGCAAAACTACCATGAGCATTTCGGACACTCCACTCAGGCTGGGATGGCAGCGTGTCGAGTCGCGTCAGCGCCGTCTAGGGATGCCAGGACAGAGTCCAGGTGAGCGCCCCGCAATCTTGCAAGACATCTGGGCATGTCCTGACCTCGACTGCGCGCCGTACACGTGCTCCTGCGGTTTGAACGGCACCTTCAGCCGGAGATATCGAGCATACCTAGTGACTTGCGGGAGCCCAAAGGTGCGGTACAAGGGCAGTCGCGGCGAGGCTAGCGGGTCGGTTGCCGTCGGAAAGCTCTAGAAAACAGAAGGAGACGTCGAGGGAGAGCGACCCGGGAAGGTGGGTGCGAGAGGGAAATGGTATGGGATCCCATTTACGCTGTGTCGTCCACGCTCACGCTCTTCAGTGTCCGATTCTGCTGCGCTGCCATCGTCCTCTCTAGTGTGCTGGACTCACAACGTGCGATCGGCCGTCGTCTTCGACGCCCTGCTCGAGTTTTCGGGGCTCTCTTGTTGCCGCCCTCTGGCACTCTAAGCATCTGGGGAATCTGGTTAGGAATCCAGAAAACTGTTGTGCCGCTATGAGACATACCTGCCGACTCATACCTCTCTTGACTCGATGCCGTGGCCCGTACACCTCTTGTGTGCTGAACACGGCCCTCCTGAACGTCTCTCCAGCCCAGACAGCCGCCGCGGGAACCTGCCCTGCTGTCCTTCACGTCGAGCTCCTCCGTTTGGGGCTACGCTGTTTGCGATATCTGGGGGCTCACATCTGCCACACAAGCGGCGTCAGTAGGTAGTCTTGTTGCGGCGTCTATTGAGCTCACCTGCCAACATCGACACGGTAGCTCCCGTGCCATGCCTACTCCCTGGCCACGTCAAACACGGCTTCCGCAACCTTGTTACGGCACATGCGCGCTGCCCATCGACATTGCACAAGGGCTCGGCGCGGGTGGGCATGCACAGGGCCGACAACCCGGGTCCTTCACACGCCCCCGACCCACCCAAGTCTTTGCTGCGCTGCGTGTCTAGGGCTGTCTTGAACACATTGTCTGTGCTTCGCAATTTCTCTCGCTGCAATCACGGCTTCTGGCACTGGGGTTGGCCTCGATGATCAGCTGGATCGTTCGCCTCGGACCTGTATCACTGCACTCACCAGGAGATGACTGAGCTGGGTGTGGAGGGCATGATCGTGTGCAGCCTCACGTCCACATGCGGTTGCACCAGTCTGCAAGACGGCGACATGGAGAGCGCGACGAGGAGCGTGGGCGGAGGAGGAGGAAAGTGGGGTTGAGGGCTGAGGGACGAGCAGTGTGAGCGGGAAGATGGCTGGGGGTTGCCAAGAGTGGAAGGTAGGCGAGAGTGGTTACGGATAAGGCGACGGTACTCGGAATGTATTGTACTGCCAAATTTGTCCATCATTCCATGTACATAGCATGCACTGCCAATGTCACCAATCAGGGCTCGTGTAGAGGGACAATAGGCCTCAGGAGTTTCAGGCCTCCACTGTGCGCCTCGCTTAACTGATGACTACTGCTGCAACACCGCTTACAATTTCATGCTTACGACCGGATCTTGCCCGTCCGCCTGCTTCGCAGGCGTGTAGACAAGATCGGCTGTGGAATATGGCAAAGCCGCGCAGATTTCCTGCTCGACCCGGCCCTTTTCCCCGCCCGATCTTGTCTAGAACTTTCCAAATTTATCTACCATCTCCTGGAGATCCATATCCCTGCAGCACTGGCACTCAATATTTCACCTCCATGCCGGACCCCATTGCTGCAGCCACAATTTGCGCAGCGACGACGAATCAATATGTACTACATGCCCCAAACATATACTATTCCAACACCAAATTTCCCCAAACTTCTCTGGCAAACTCCGTACACAGGCGAGCCCGCGCGGCCTGAGCCCGGCTTGCACTAGCAGTGGAGATATTGAGTCTAAACGATGCCGCCGTCTAAGAGTCACGCGGAACGAAGCTCGGGTCGAGAACGGAGCGCGAGTCGATCTATCTGCATATGTGCCCGATATGGCATGTAGTGCGCTTCGACACCCGGGCGTGGGGACTTGGCCCGGGCGGCCGCCGCGCAGCTGTCAGTCCTGGACGTCCACAACGATGGGCGCGCCCTCCCCCACGACACTCTCCACCAGATTCTCAACGTGGAATTACGATAGCTGTTACATTTTGACCCAATACAAAACCTTTGCCAGTGTCTGAAACCGCCCGACTAGACTGACGCTGTTCATGCAGCCCAGCCCACCATTCCATCACCGTCGACAAGAATCCCGTCCAGCTTGATTAACAGAGCCTACTGGTGCGCAAGAAGTCCAAAAGTCAGCTGTCCTCGCACCCAGCTCTTTGCCGCCGCGACCGTCTCGAGGCTCAGAGCCCGGACCTGTAACACCAGTCAACTTCCACCTCGCAAACCCCATGTGATCTTCATACAGGACACATGTGGGCATTCTGCTGCACGCCCCGGACGCCCTGAGATGAATCACAGCGCTGCCTGGTACCCCTACACTGGTGCGGTTGGCCCACAATCAAACAAGACGAGGCTGAAGAGGCGAAGTCATGCACTGCCACCAGCGATGCCTGCGCACATGCACTTCTAGCTCAGTACATGTACAGTAAGTGTCTTCGTGCGACCTGTGTGGAATTGTACAGTCGTTGACGCTCTCAAATTACCTAGCTACTACGCACCATTGTACACCTTCGTAGGGCTTGATATGAGCCCCAGTACTAAATTGGTGCTCGACTCCGCCGCCGAGATCCAATTTGACACTTGCCAAGACATCAGTATCCAGGACCTATCCAATTCGCGCTGCATACTCGGTTCCCGAAGCAACGAGCTTCTCATGAGAGAAGCTCTTCTCTCAATTGTGTTGTCTTGCCACCGCCAATGGGTGGAGCACTCATCGGGAAGGCCAATCGGCATCCTACGGCGGGCCTTGCAAAGAGATGCTACTAACGATCCACACACTTGGGTGCACTGACGGCTCGCTGCGCGAAGTGAGCAGGTACGCGGGAGTTCTAAATGAGAACTTTCGGCCCTAATCATTGGCATTGCAGATTCTTAGTTCTCCTGAAGCGCTCCGCGCGGGCATCGCAGAGCTCGCATTGTCAGCTAGTAAGTGTCGAGTCGAGCTTGTGTCGCCTGCAGATAGTAGTGACAGGATTGACGGCCACTGCTCAGAATTCCCT